TATGAATAATTACTATTATCCAATATGTATATTCACTGTTATACATTTTCGTGTTAATGAAATATATTTGGCAGTTTTGGCATCACTCTTCAAGAAACCATACCATAAATCATTGTGAGGTCTAGTAGTTAGTTTTTATAAAACCAATTTTAACAGTTGCCAAATAAAAATGGCTGTCGTTTGTTGTAACAAATCTCCAACGTTGTAACCTATTTCACTTCGAATTACATAAAGTGAACATAAATCCGTTAGGCGAGATAACTAATCCTTTATGTTGGAGAGGTTTCCTTCTGTACCGATCCAGTAAATTTTGTAACAGCTAAAGTTGGTGTAAAACTATAATTCTCCGATTTTTGTCTGGCTCTATCTATCCGCGATTATTGGAAGCAACGTTCATTTCGAGTTCATAGGGTGGATTAATCGGAAGAGATGTGAATTGATGTAAACAACAGCCCGTTGGAGACACACAAAAAATACTGTTTTGAAATTATCGATGTGAAATACTTTATCGAGCTTGACACGAACACTTCCGAGTAATTAAAAATTAACACAAACATTCGAAGAAAAAAAATTGTACAGCTAGAATTATTTGTTGACTGAACATGAGGCAGACGCAAACACATATTCACGATAAACTAAAAATCATCAGACAATTCCTAGATGGAACACCCTTCTCATGCCTCATGTTGCCTAAACGATGCCCCATGAAATGAGATGGTAATTGGTACGCAATCTCCCCAGTGAGAACAAGATTGAAATGAACTGGAACAGACGAATCATTATTTCTACCTAAGTTTTTATGAAAATCAAAAACAAGTGCCCCATTTTTTGCTAATACGGCTACTATGGCTAAGAACATTGAATAAAGGATTGACATTCCGTGAGCAAAGGTTATCTTAATGCTGTCTAACCTCGAAAGACCATCTCTTAGGATCCTTTAACCATAAATCCTGTCGTTTTCCCATTAACTTTTGTCCCTCTATTTTAATTCCAAGTAGCTCATATCTTTCATCTCTCAATAAACAATCTCTTCTCTATTTGATAGATTAATGGCAAAACGCCAAAGATTATAAGAACTCAAGACCAAGAAACAACTCTCTTGCGAAACCCATTTACCATCGAAGAGCTCAAAAATGGTTTGGGCTGTGTGAAAAATGGAAAATCAACTGGGGTGGACAAATCCTAACAGAGCAGATAAAACACTTCAGGCAAAAAGCGAGAAAATGGGTGCTCGATCTATTTAAGATATGTCGCTCTACCTAAAAGACTCCAAAACTGTGGCGTAAATCAAAAGTAGTAGCCCTTCTGAAACCTGGGAAAGACCCTGAACTACCGAGTAGCTACCGTCCAATATCTCTTCTATGGCATTTGTATAAATTGTATGAACGAATCAGTTTGAACCGCATTCAGGAAACATTAGATGCAAAACTATCCCACAACAAGCAGGCTTCAGACCAGGTAAATCATGCACAGGCCAAGTGCTGAACCTAACAGAATACGTAGAGGAGGGATTTGAGCAGAAAGAGATAGTGGGAGTAGCCTTGATAGACCTCACAGTGGCCTATGATACGATAAACCACAGAACCTTGCTAACTAAGATCTATAACACTGTGCTTGAGTATGACCTGGTAATTATCATTAGATCATGTTGTCTAATAGACGCTTCTACGTTGTGCTAAATGGAAAGAAGAGCAGATGGAGAAGCCAAAAAACCACGGCGTTAAATGAAACATGTAGAATAATTACTGGTTGTATGAAGCCTACCCTCAACCCCCTCTACCGGGTAGCTGGATTCGCATCACCAGACGACCGTAGATGCGCCTCACAATATGTGGAGAAGGGCAAACTTTCGATGAAAGGCACCAATTATACAGGTTTGACGAACCACCAGGAATCAGCCGACTTAAATCAAGGAAAATGTTTATGAGAAATGTCAACGTCGAAACACCCGAACTGCTCCCCCTACATTCAGAACGACCTAATGGAATGAACCTGAACTGGAGAACCTGGCGGACACTCAACCCCATACGCACAGGTGTTGCCCCTGTAAAACAGAACCTTATTAAATGGGGCACCAAGACAGATAGCGAGGCACTTTGTGAATGTGGGGAAATATAGAACGTGGAGCACCCGAGAGTATGCAGACATTGCCCATCACAGGGCACCCTCGATGATTTATGGCTCGCAAATACAAAGGGTGTAGACGTAGCCCGATATTGGGCAGAAAGTAAAAGTAAAGTAAAGTCTATTTGATAGCTGTTAAGAGCTCGGTTTGGATTTTATTATGCGCTGATTAAGACACAACAAAACAGACAATGGAAAAAATATCAATCAATAAACTTAAAACTTATGAGGACGTCAATTTAAGAAGAAAAGTATATTAGAGTCTTGAAAATAAAGATCTTAAGTAACAATGAGGTTTCATAATGATATTCTACATTGGAGGATTATTCTCCAATACCTAGGTGTATATACCTAGGTATACATTTTCTGGATGTATAAATTTAGCAAACATTTCATCGATCAGACAGTATTCTATACAAGTACCTCACAAAATGATTTAAAAGGAGTTTACCGATTCATTGAGAACTAAACAAATATTTTTTATTAGAATTCCAAAACTATAGATATCTAGATAAGTATTGTGTAATGAATTGTTAAGTCAGCATTCTTGGCTTCAGTGCAAAACCCTACATTTCAATAATAAATTTAGACTAACTACAAGTTGGTTTCATGTAATTCGGATCGTCGTTGTAAATAGAACAATTGTAATGGGGATATTTTCATACACGTTGGTATCACTTATGGATTGGTTAAATACCAGAAGGAGTGATTTGAATTATGTTGTCTGTCTGCCTGCTTATTTCGTTGAAGCAAGACTAGTTATACGCAAGAGAAATATCTTAGAACGAAAACTCAAATATCAGTTGTAATTGAGGTTATAGCACCGATTTTGCTTATTTGTTTATTAATGTATTTTCACCATTATTTCCACTCTATACTTGTATACAAATGAGTTCAGATAACTAAATTGTATTATTTAATTTCAAATAAATGTAACAGCGAAAATTGTTTAATTTTGACAAATGACAAATGTCATCGTAAATTCTCAATCTGACAATGGCCTAAATTCACTCTATCAAATTCCAATCAAAATTTATCATTGAAATTCTATAATTTATGAACAAAAATGCTTGAGTTTTCGTTTTTGTTTACATACAAGGGTTGTCTTTAGTTTTGGATATAGCCATTAAGAAAAAAAAATATATAGACTTAAAGTATATTTTATATTACGTGAAGAAGTCGTTGGAACTTAGGTCGGGGCTATACTGTGGATGGTGTAACAATTCGATGTTTTGAAGCTACAAAACTCTATTATTTTCTTTTGGACAGTGTGAGCACTTGCATTGTCCTGATATGGGATGAACAGAATAATGAACATAAGAACCAGAAATTCAAATGTAAACAAAGCTTATTTTTCTGTGGAGACTGAAACTCTGGGTATACAAAACTATTATTAGACCAATAGTGTGTTATGGATGCTAGACGAGGATGATAACAGAAAATACAACAAGAAAGTTGGAATCCTTTGAGAGAAAAGTCCTAAGGAAGATATTTGAACCTATTAACGAAAAAGGAGTATGAAGATCGAGGTACAACCATGAACTCTATTAACTGTTCAAAGAGATACCGATCTCAGAATTCGTTAAACTTCAGAGACTTCGACGGGCTGGTCATGTAGTGAGAATGGAGGCCGAATGATTACCGAAAAGAGAGCTAGTTAGTAAACTGGAGGGCAAAAGATCAAAAGGAAGGCAAAGGTCAGCTCAATTTGGGCTGTAGTGCCATTGGAGAGAAAGAGATACTCCTAGCACGTTTGTTTAACTAGAGGGCAACAGCTCATAAAGAGGATAATAGATAGTGATGACAGAAAAAACGGTACGACCTTGATTATTATACATATAATTTAGAAATTTTTTAAACTATAGATAAAAATTACAGACCATTTTTGACTCAATTATTATTCTGAAAAATATAGTTTTAATTTTGCAAAGAAAATTTCAGTAAAAAAAAAAGAAACAACTAATGGATGTGGCGGGAATGCAAACAATTAGATAGATGAGGGGATTGACAAAAATGGATCAAATTAAGAATGAGAATATTGGGTTAAGATTGTTTGGTCTTGTTTGATGTCGAGACATTAAACACCCAATAAGAAAAAATTTTAAGTTCCGTTTTCTGCCTACATACTATTCTCAACAACGACAGACAGAGTTTTAAGTAGAAAGAAGACACTAGAAGGAAGAAGACTACCTTTACGCTAACTTATTAGCTGCCGAATCCATTGTATTATCATTAATTTCCGCTAAATAAATACAAAAACATAAAATGTACTCATATTCCATTCTGCACATGACTAATATCAACAGAAATCCAAAAGAAACAAAAAGATTATATAAATTTATATAAAAGGTCAAAGAGTATTTACAAAATTTGCGTATATTATGATAAGTCAATAAAGGTTATATTACCTTATCAAGACTATAAGTAAATTTAAATTTGGTTATGTTTGGTTAAGAAACTTTCCACAATAAATAAAAGAATGAACAGAACCGTACCCGAACACGATTGCATGAACAATTTAGAAGATCTAAAATTGAGAAGATATTCAAATGAAATATGTCCAGGAGAATCATTCATAAACGAAATAATATTAGAATATGCAACAAAACATAAAAATCTTCACGAGAAAAAATTACCAGGTGACTTAGAACAGAACACAGACAGTTTCGGTCGCATCCACAAAACTATTTTGTAACAAAAATGTTACTAGAAACTCGTTAAGTTAATTATAATAAACAATTACGATCATTTGTTGGTGGCTTAGGTGTAGCTTTTTAAAGTAATACTAAAATCCTGTTCTTAGTAATAACAAAATAAAAGTGGTAGTTATGATATTGTTAGCTAAATCGAAGAGTGTTCTTCGTATTCATACTTACATAATTCGTTCCCACGGAGGTCTCAAGAAAATGTGACACATAACTTGAATTAATACAGTTGGAGGACTCTTGTTTCCTCTAGCATATTCTAGTTGGCATATTCTGCACAAATGACCCATAATGAATCTAAGAGTGGACTTGTGATGAGGCGGTAGCTCTTCCACCAACTGTCTCAATATGGACGTACATTCCTCATCGTTTCTTTTTCTTGATGCTTCTAGGAACTTATCGTACCATTGCACCGGGATCAGAGGATCTGGCAATTCTCGTAAATACTTCTTAAAAACGCCGGCAATTGAGACAGGACTGAATTCCGATAGGTTCATGTCATTGGGATTTTCTTCAATCTTCTTAACAAGCGATAAAAGTTGATCTGCCGGTGGGGTAGCGCAATACAAATTATACAGCTCGAGAGATTCATTACTTTGGGCGCGCTTCTCAAGTTCATCGGCGCAGTAGATGAGAAGATCAGGTGCTGCACTTTCAGTAAGGCTGAACTGGCAACAGAGTCCCTGACCAAAAAACGATTTGAACTGAATGAAATGGGATCTATCATCCATTGGACGGTGAGTACAAGACGGAAGATCAGTTGCTGCGCAAGTTCGGTGAGCTACGAGTCCGCAGTCTTGACATATAAAACCTTGATGAAGAAGACCTCGAAGATATTTGTTGCATTTATCACACCTTTCAAGGGTACTAAAGCTATGTTGTGTCAAATTATGTGTGTAGTTTGTGCCTGTGGACGATGCGGCTTCCTCAACATCAATATTTCTTAACGTTAGGCATATCTCTGGCTTTTTGAGAAGTTCATCAACACAGGATAGTATGGCTTTTTGGTGGAACTCGTCTTTTATTCCCATAGCCTGAAAACAAGTATAAAATTTAAACTGTTACACAAAAAAACGTAATGCAATTTTTTACAATATTCATACACAATACAGATCATTTGAAGTAGGCTGAGAACGCGGAGATCCACAGAAATTATTTACAAACATTAGCAAATGAGGGTCAGTAGAGCAGAGATCAAAAGAACGACTTATATATTTGCACGAAGCTATCAAAGTATGTGCTGAAACACAAATATCACTAATAAAATGCGATTAAATAAAACTAAATCCATAGGACCACTAAGCAAAGAACTAAAAAAGGTCACTAGGCAATGCATCATAAAACAAATATAGTGGCATATCCTCTTTCAACCAGATATTTAAATCACTAGACGTACATCAAAGGACTAGGTTACGAATCTAAAACACCATAATCCAACCGATAGTGAGTTCATCATCATCATCATCAATTAGCCTATATTTGTCCACTGCAGAACGTAGGTCTCCCGTAAAATTTTCCACCTATTTCTATCTTGAGCTTCTTGCATCCAGTTTGTGGTGATGCGCTTGATAGCATCCGCCCATCTAGTCGGTGGTCGTTCTCTGCTTCGATATGCCTTTTGCCTTGGTCGCCATTCCCAGAATCTTTCTGGTCGATTTATCATCTGTTAATCTAACAACACATTTAGCCTTGGCTATCTTTTCAACTGCATCTGTGACTCCTGTTCTTCTTATTTCTAGGTTTGGTACTTTATCTCTGATGGTAATGCCTAATATTGATATTTCCATAACGCGTTGTGTAACTCTTATTTTATTTATTGTTCTTTTTGTCAGTCAGTGTTTCTGCACCATATGCAAGAACCGGTAAAACGCACTGGTTCAAAACCTTTCTTTTTAAACAAACTGGAATAATCGACTTGAAAATGTTACTTCAATCTACCAAAGGCAGCCCATGTGAGACCTATCCTTCTTTGTATTTCAGTTGTCTGATTATCTCGGCCTAAGCGAATCTCATGCCGTAGATATTTGTAAGCTATTACGTGGTCAATACTATTGGCTCATAGTGAGTTATGGATGTGAAACTTGGATATTCACTCAAGAATCTGTAAACCGCATGGACATATTTGAAAGCAAGGTAGTGAGATGAATACTAGGTCCTACGAATCAGAACAAGTGGCAAATCAGATGCAATTATGAAATATATAATATGTATATATTATAAAAAAACATCCTCTCAGTATGTACGCCAACAGCGTCTTCAATGGACTTCAATGTATTCAGAATGGAAGAAAACTCCCCTCTATCCTTTATCCTTCGTTAGAATGTGATGTCGTTATGGTATTCAACGTGCTATCCGTTTTTCTCTCTCCAGAGCGTGGCCCTAGACAGAGAGTAACCGGTGGTGCTCTTTATTTGGTCTGACCATCGGAGTGGCTTTCTTTCTCGGGTTCTTTTACCATCTACATTGCCTTCAACCAATAATCTCTTTACACCTTCTTTTCTGCCCATGCTAGTCTTGTTCTTCTAGTAATTTTCGCACTTTGGTTCTCTTTGTCAAGTCTCAGGATTTGTCCTAGTAGATATATTCCTGGATTTGTTCTATCTCACTGCCGTTTATAGTTATATGTCTGGGGTCATCTGTGTTTGTCATTATTTTTGTTTTTTCATATTCATTTTTAGGTAGACATATTGGAGCTGGCTGCTAGTTTCCCCAACATAATTTGCAGTTCCTCGAATGTGCTCGCTATAATCACTATGTCGTCGAGTTGTGTTAATATAGAGATATTTGGGCGGTGTGCTGTCCAGGGTACGCGTATCATTCTACGATATACCCACATTTCAAAGGCCATTATACGTCGTGAGTTGGACTTTTTGGTGGTCCGTTTCTGCAGCGTAGATAGCTATAGCAAAGATAAGCGCCCATACCAGGCAACGAAAACGTACTTCCAAAATCTGTCGAATGAAGCCAAGAAGGGGAAGATCGAGAAAGCGATGGGAGGCTAATGTGGATGAGGACGTAAGAAATCTCCTTTGAAAGAGCATGGCTACAAATAGTAACGATGGGGAGGTTTGCTGGGAGAAGCTAGGGTTTTCAAATTGGGCTCTAGAGCCATAGGATAGATGATATCTCCTCTTTGATGTCGAAACATAATAAGTTCCTACTCCTTGTAGTAAAGAAGTGAAATAATAAATATATAATAGTATAAATACTTTAAAATCAATTTACTGTTTGTATTTTGAGAACGATTTCCGAAATTGAAATTGAAACGTCAATAAACATATTTTTACCTTTAATTGTGGCTTATTCCCAGTTAAATAGTAATTAATACTTTAAAAAGTAAAAACCCGAATGAAACCTAGTTTATTTAATAATTGAATTATTAAGGATTTAAAAAATGAATACGATGTGTTCTATATAAATTAATTTTGAATCGTTACATACACTAACTTAAGTACCAAAAAAGTAACGTATATATATATAGAATGTATGCATCAAGGTTACCTATAAAAAATATTTCCAATTCCTGAATCTTATTAAAACGCAAAAAGAATTTCACAGTAAGAAAAACGTAAAAATAATTTGCTTCACAGTTTACTTCATTAAATATCATAATTAACCGCAAGTTAATTCAGTTTAATTCTAACAAATACCTTCTTTCTGGGACTAATCGTATAAAATACCAAAGGTATTGGAAAAAAATTTACTTTTTCACCACAACAGAATAAATGGGTCAATTTAGGTTTGTTTTTAATTCAGCTAATTGGTTTTTTGTACACTTTCCATTCATTCTTCTTCCCATTCCAGAATTCTGGAACCCTGTACCAGCTCGTACATGTGCATTCCATCCATGTTGCTCGAACTCCATCGGTAAGAATTTCCATTTATCTGTCCATTGTTCAGTAATGTTAATCTTAATGCCTATTCATTTTCCAAAATTTTTGTTTAACCAAAATTACCACATTTTTAAATTTTAAGCCTTTTTTAACATCAGTTCTCTTCAGATGTTTTAGGAGGACCCACTAACAGAGCATCACCAGCACATAAATACCCAGGAATACCCTTTGGAGTCTCCCATAAACCCAAAAAATAAAACAATTGAACCAAAAAATAGAAATCCGAAGATTTCTTGGTTGTCGAAACCAAAATTCAGTGCCTTTTACAATTTACAAAGCAAAACAGACCATGAAAGGACCGACGTTGGAATCTAAAATTGCATTCCATGACATATCGATTCATCTAAGCAAGAACCTTTGGCAACTGGTTTTTAGACTCATAAGGAATAAATAAAAGATAAAAAAAGACAGTTAAGATGTGATTTCACGGATAATGCTTTTGCTTATTAGCTTATACATATTTTGTCCTAGCAGAACTCATCAGATCCACTCTGCAGCTGCCCTGAACGTAAAAACAAATATTTTCCTTCAAGAGGAAGTAATAATAAAATAACTTCATAATTTATCCTAAGATTTACGCAAAAATCTTAATTTTTTTTCGACAACCAAGAAATCTTTGGATTTCTACTATTTGATTTTATTCTTAGCGCCGTAGTATCTTTATAAAGTTATTTTATTATTACTTCCTCTTGATGGAAAATATTTGTTTTCACGTTCAGGACTTCTGCAGAGTAGCTCTGATGATTCCTACTACGACGAAATACGTATAAACCAACACGCGAAGGCAACTGTCTTTCTTTGTCTTTCTTTAAAATAATTGATGTAGACGCGAAGTCTAATATGAACTTTACCACGAGTAGTAGGATATCAGAAGTATATCAGGACTACTAACAGAACTACTTCAAAAATAAGACGAAAACTATACACCTTATTTCCTATCTTTATATTGAAAGATATAATACTTACAACTAGCTTATCTCTATCCAGATTGATTAAATCTGCGCCCTTGACATCCTTGCATCTGAAGACATCAGCATAGTTATAAAGATTAACGGCCGCCATCCATTCTATGACGTTTGAACAGGTCCACTCGGTAATTTGCTGCAACAGAAACAAAAAATACGTCAGTGTTGAACGTATTCACTGTGTTTAAGTTAATTATCTAATTTAATGACAAGGAAATATTACAAGAGTGTGAAATTATAAAAATGTTCTTCAGTTAATTAATTGTTCATTCAAATAGATTCTTCATATCAAGTATTGCTTTTTAATTCGTATGACTAATTTTTACACCGGTCATTTTCCAAACCTTGAACATAAATATATAAAGCAAAACTGACAAGGATGGCTGCAATTTCTTGATAATATACTTTTATTTAATAGGATCGGAATACATTTTTTAAATCGATCGTTTAGGCGCTGTATTGAAACCAAAACTCATAAAAGACTGATAACGGATTCAGCATTAAAATTTATTGGAAAATAAATTATATAACTGAAAATTTTTTTCCTCTGGTTCAGAGAAAACAAAAAAATAACATATGTTGCAAATGATGAGTATTATCTTCTTCTTCTTCAGGTTTCTTCTCCTATCGGAGGTTGGAAATCATCATCGCTATTTCAAATTTATTGGCAGCGCTTCTGAATAATTCTAATGAGCTGCAACAGAACCACGGTGTTCAGTCCACGATATTCTGTGGATTCTCCCGTAGCACATCTCGAAGGAGTTAATTGTTTTGATTTCAGACTGTTTTATTGTCCACGCTTCCATGCCGTACTTCAATGCCATGCTTCAATTTTATGAACGTGTTTCTTGCCATTTCTATTCTAGATCTGATTTCTTTTGTTTGATCTCCCTCTTCGGTTAGTCACGTTCCTAAATATTTATATGTTGTTACTCTTTCGATATTATTATTGATGATCAGGTTATCTACATTTTGTGGTTTTTTTTTAGAATACCATTGATTTCGTTTTCTTGAGATTCATTTGCCGTACCTTTCACATGCATTGTATACATGTTGTATTATGTACTGTAGATCTTCCATGTCATTTGCAAATATGACCTTATCGTCCGCATATCTAATATTTTACTGCTATTTCCGTTGACCAAAATACCCTTCACAATATCCAATAAAGCTACTGTAGACGTTGAATAAGAGTGGTACCACGTTATAGTGGTACCATCTGCATTTGTTAATATCCCGATTGGTTTGTTACGATTTTCTGAAATCATTTCTTTAACCTTCTTATTGGCGTTGAAAGTGTCATACCTTGCCTCACATTCCTCAATTTCTTGACATTTAATGGACATCCATGTTTCCTTAGCTTGTTTTATTTTGTTTTAGTTGTTTATTTTATCTTTGATTTTATGTATTCTTCTTTCGTTCATCTTTTCGAGAATTTCTTGTGTCATCCATTCTTGTTTGGCAGCTTTTGTAAATGTTTTCCGTCCCACAGTCTCAATTGTGTTCTTTATATTCTTCCATTTTGTTTCAATATCTGTAGTGTTCTTAATTTGTTGTTTCATTTCTTGGATACTCTGATTTATTTTATTTCGAGTTTCTTGGTATGTATTTGGTTCTCTTAGTTTATCAATGGATATTTGTGGTCCAGATATTTTCATTAATGTTTTTCTCAATCTTACATTCATATTTGCTACTACTGGGTTGTGGTCCGAGTTTACATCTGCTCCAGGGTAAGTCTTTACTACTGTCATAGAGTTCTTGTACATGTTCCTTATCAAGATGTAATCTATCTGATTTCTTTATAATTCTATCTTTGTTGTCTCCAGGAGCTTTCCACATGTAGAGCCGTGTAAACATTGTATTCATTACTACCAGTTCTTCTATTTGGCACATATGAATTAGTCTTTCACCACGCTCATTTCGCTCTCCCAATCCATACATTCCAACACAACTCTCCACACTTCCTTTGCCCACTTTGGCATTGAAGTCGCGATATTATTGTTTTCAATTGCTCGTAGAAGTCTTCTATTTCTTGTTCCTCCTTGTCAGCTGTTGGTGCATTATCTATTCTAGCTATCTTACGTTAAGATATGTTGTTCGCGAGGTTAAGGACATTTATTTAAGATCCCACTGGGCTCTGTCTGCACATGTTCAATATCATTTGCGTAAAATGGGAAAGGAGGACAGAGCAACACAATGCGAAAGAAATAGGGATATCCGTCAACGTAGATAAAACTAAAGACCTAATAAAAGCAAAGAAACAACGAAACTTGCAAAATTTGACAATAGACGACGCAAATATTGAAGTGGTAAAACATACCTAGGCGTATAGATAATCGAGGAAGACAGAGAGGAAAAGGAAATACGAAAACGGATAATGCTTGCTAATAAAGCATAAAACAATAAATAATATAAAAGAATAAGGAATAAATACAGCTGACTTCACAAGTGGTCTAACGTCAACTGATCTATTTCAAACTGCTGTGAATAGAACAAGATGGGTCAATGTGATCACCAACATCACTTGAAATTAGGCACCTTTAAAAGAACAAAGCATACTTATTTTTGTTGTAGGTGTTTGGATCCATGGATCATGGCGGAAAAAACAATAAACCTTATAATACTTTGAAAGGATATTGGGACGTATGTGTGACAATGGTATGTGTAGAATACGGTTCAAGCACGAGTTGATAGAACCCTCTAAACCAAATTATGCATAAAATAAAAAAATTACGGTGGCAGGTCAACTTATAAGAATGGATGTAGTAGAACTGGGTGTAGTAGTATTGGGTAGTAGTAATGAAAGTGGTTTGAGTTGAGCTCATTGAAAGATGTCAATGAATGTATTATTATATTTTACAAAATAATTATTATTGCATCTTTAGCTGGTGCATCGAATCGTGTTTTTCTAAGCTTACCGTCTCAGAGATGATTTATTCCAATAGGATAACGCGTTTTGTTGCCAATAAAATAAAACAATACGCAATTACGTACTTATCTCAATGTATACGTTAATAACTTAACCAGTAATTTTATATTTCAAACAATATTACTATTACCTTCAAACAATGTTACTGACATGTGGTTAAAACCCAGTAAAAGTTGTTCTTGTGCATATCATGAAAATAATATATTTTCCGTTAAAGTTTATGTTGGCCGCAAACTTCAGATTATAATTAAATAATTCCATTGTAAATTTCACCACGTTCGAGTTTCATATTTGTTTTCTTCTTCGTAATTTATGTACTAGATCTTTCAGTCAAAGATATATTTCTAGTACTCAGACGTTTTTTCTCTCTGGAAGCCTGTTCAACAAAGCCAATTGACTGATTGTATATCTACGCTAAAAATATCGATCATGAACAAAATTGAAGCATTGGAAATGTGGGTTCATAGACGAATGCTGAAGATACCTTGGACAGCAAGGAAAACTAATGAAGAAGTACTAAGGACACCAACAAAGATATAGACCTATTTCTAAAGACTATTTAAACATCGAAAAATGTCTCATCTGGGACATATAGTAAGGGGAAGTCGATATAAAATATTACAACTGATCCTTAAAGGATGATTTTTAGTTCTGATTGGAAGTATATCTTATAAACTATTAGGAATCTTTCTAGACGATAATTTGGATTGGAGTGCTCATATAGATTACTTAAGTTCTAGACTTGCTACAAGTATATTTTTAATACGCAACTTAGTTTATAGGATTCCTGAAAATACCCTTAGAATGTGCTACTTTGCACTATTTCATAGCCATTTACAGTACGGAATAACTGTTTGGGGTAATTCTTCTTACGCAGATCAAATTTTTAAATTACAAAAAAGAGTAGTGAGGATACTTGCAAGAGCAGAGTATAGGGAACACTGTAAACCTTTATTTCTGGATTTAGGTATTATGCTACTACCTTCACTGTATATATATGAGACGCTGATTGAAATTCATGCCAACAAAGGTAAGTTTAACATAAACTCCAACATCCATGATCACGATACAAGATCTAGAGATGCTATTAGCACAACGTTTTAGGTTGACAAAGAGCATAAAAATTCGACTGATGTTAGTTTGTATAATTTTTTGCCGAATGAAGTAAAAAGTCTTCACTTGTTATCGTTTAAGCTTAAAATCAAATCACACTTTTTGAAACATTGTTTTCTATTCAAAAACGGAGTACCCAAGTACAGCATTTTACACAATAGTACTAGTTTGGTCAGGGTAGTTGCGTATTATAATTATATTTCATGTTTTTTATAATTCCACAAAGTGTGTTTGTCGTTTTTTTTTAACTGTTAATATTAAATATATACATGTTTGTAATGTTTAAATACAAAAATTATCTTTTATATGTATTGTAACTATTCCTTTGACTTGTCAAAAACAAAACTATTTTTGTATATTGATTAAATAAATTATATTCTATTTCTATTCATTGAACTTGTAAAAGCATAAAAGTACCTGGAGAGGTTTTGTGGTAGATATGTATATGTACGTATGCATAGTTTAATATAGATCATTTTAAAACCAACAGAATGTCCAAAATACAGGTATTGGTTATAGAATTTGTGAAGAAATTATCTATAATAAATACTTTGTATACGGACCATGTGCTGGAAAATAAAAGAATGTCCAAAAACAATTTACTTAAATATGGTTATTGAGTGAGAATAAAGCAACTTGGTGGTTATCAAAGTTCAAAGCGAAAGTACCAGCTCTGAACAGAAAATATGTAAACAGTCAATCATAAAAGGAATGCAAAAGATCCAATAAGATGTATCTGATATGAACATATTAAAATGTTGGTTCAAAGAAAAGGATGAAAAAAAGTGAAGGAAAAAGTACTTTTGAACAGTTTATTAAATACAATAACTCAATGTACTATACCACAGTAGGTACATATATGGTGTAGTATTTGGTTAAAGAAAAAAGAATTTAAGTGAAACATCACCATAAAGAATAACAAATGAATACAATTTGACTGTGTCAATCAATAAGAAAAGATGGTAACACAAAGCTTTATTTAGACACACTGAAAGATAACAAAACTCTGATGCCAAAGAAATTAGCAAATCTGGCAAAAGTAAATACAGATAACACCATATATACAAGTTACCAGCATAGACAAACAAATAATT